ATGAAATGGGGTATATATATATATATATATATCCCATTTCAGCCGGCACCGAAGAGGATACATTGTCAACTAGAGGTATCCGGTAGGGTCAAGAGCAATTTACCATCGGTTTCTGGTGCAATCATGCCACATATATATATGAAATGGGGTATATATATATAAACACACACACAGATACACACGCATACTAAACACGTATCGAGTGATTTGGCTAGTTCCTATCGTCTGTCAATCTGACCTCGAATTTGTTGCGACGATGTCTATCAAGCAGCTTTACGGACGCCAGGTCAGACGGCTTTAGGGCAACGTCATCCATAAGGTTGTAGAAGGGTCAGACAACAGCTGGTCAAGAGAAAGGCACTACTGTCGACATATTGGAATCTGTTCATTATAAAATTGTGTATAACGTCGAAATGAACTCAACAATTAAAATAATTACAAATTAACATGTACAAAGCCTTTATCCAAGTTGCACTGAAGGTGTGAATATGAAGATGATGTGTTTTGGGCTTCATGTTTTTGTAGATAAATAGGCTTTGTGACTTCCAATCGATCATACATGCGAGATATCTTCACTCCATTTCGTTTAGGCAAGCATACCTTAGTGTGATTCAATAGAAACATGTGATCTCAAGATATAATTGTAGGAAAATTAGCTACCAGTGGCGTTTATCACATTCAGGAAACTGGAATAAATGCACTGTTTATTCACGATCCACTCGTGACGCCCTGAACAGCTACTCAAAGCGAATCTTTGTATGCAGCCTGGGTCCTTCACGAAAAAGGGTGAATCGCATTAAATGCTGGCGCTCATGTTGGTCTAAAGTTATTTGACCTGGTTTTTGCACATTTACAGAGGCTGCATTTCGAAGAGTCCGTCATGTGATGAAAACTAATCTTTCTTGGTTGAGTGTTTTTTGGCAATTTTTCCGTTGATCATGTTTTCTGGTTCTGACCATGTCCGTCACATGACCTACGAAAGCTCAGCTCTTCGCACAATTCGACCGACATAAGCCCAGGGCAACCGTTCTTCGGCATCGGGTGAGACCAACTTATGAATGCCTTGGAACCACCTTCACAAACGAAATGAAATGTACATCAGTATCAAACTGGTGTTTGCAAGTTGATCGTGTTGTCAGGCCGACCTCGAGGAAACCACAGTGTCCAGAGTCCGTAGAATTAGTACGGTCACCTTGACAACACGACCAAATCAGCATTTGTAACTCCAACTTGCTCTTTATGTCTTCTTGCCTGTCGTCTAGAGTCTTGCCGAAGTGAGTCGTCGTCGAGATTCGACCTCTCGACCGCCCGGCAACGGGTCGTCGACTGACCGTGACTCCAGTCGACGTGGTCGACCTCACGCCGCTGGAGTCTCCTCTTCTGCCTCGGCCGGTAGCACGACCTGTTCACGTCGCCTAGCAACAGTGCGTCAGAAACAGGCCGCCTCTAGACTCTCCTCGGCCGGAGTGAGTCGTCGGCCGGGCCGTCATCGCGGTCGTCAACGGCGCACCAGCACCGTCTCTGTCTCTCCTTCTCTGTCGCCCTCGTCGGCTTCCGCCTCGTCGGCCTCGTCCACGACGACAGTCGCCACCTCGACCGGCGTCGGGTCGGCAGACAATGGCAGTCAAACCGCACCCACGGGACTCGAACCGGCGGCCGTGAGCGCGCCAGGCCAGGCCGGACTTCGTCTGCCACGCCGGCACAGATCACGACGCCGCACGGCCAAGACGAGCCTGTCGCGGGCCCGAAAGGTCAGTCGTCTCGTGGCTTGGCATGGCGTTTCCATTTCGACGCGACAATTGCTTGTTGGGGATTCGGACTTGGCCTGTCAGGGGAAGGGGGGGGCGAGGCAGGATCGTTTTATGGTTGGTATAACCTGGAATGTGCGTAATAATTTCATGATCATACAGTTACTGATTGGGGTAGACATGTTCGGTGTAGAGGTGAGTGTGATTGCGGTATGTGTGGCGAAACCCTGTGTTTTGACTAACCAAATGGTGTATACTGTAGATACCAAGTGGTGGAAATTATGAATATTATAGCAAAGGACACGGAAAAGAGTACATTCCACGAGAGTACATTCCCAACCAAATGGAAGAGGTTGGGTAGCCATGTCTGTTGAGCGTTGGTTCGCGGCATTTCCAGACGGCCTTCTCGAAGGTTTACGGCATGCCTGATGTAACCAACACATTTTGGGGATCTGTGTCTACAGCCATGAAAACCAAGGGCCTAATCGCGACTTTATAACGTCGTTGTCTGTTCAGCTTTATGTGAAAAAAGTTGACCCTTTTTGTCCTCGTGTTTTTTTGTGAATTTTCATAAAACATGCTGTCCTTGTGCCACGATGCCCGTGAGAGGATGGACCTAACGTCAGCAAGAAGGTTCCACGAGAAGTCCCTGTCGCTGCGACTAAGTTGCGAAAATGGGGTTGAACCAAGCCTGTACAACGAAAGGAGACTGCGACCACACACAAAACTCCACACCATCTTGGTTTTCATAGCCACGCTTTGGGATTATACTTGTCGAGATCAATTGCATATCAAATGAAACTGTTTGGTGGAGAGAGTTGACTTTCGAGAAATGTCTTGTTTCACAATTTTTGAGCCGATGAAGAGATTCTACAGTCGGTGCTACCAGAAGATGTCGATTGGCTTCATTGCAACACTCCTGCTTGCGGTGTTTCCGAGGCAATCCATCGTATGACGGATAGCATAAGAGCAGCACATTATTCTTACAATCGTGTGCATGTTTCTGTGAATTTAGAAACCCACTATTCCAGTTTTCTTGACTAGTTGGCTTGAAGTTGAATGTGGTTGTAACAATGACAGCTTGCTCTGGTGATTGTTGAGCTTACTTCCATTTCGAGGGAAAGTGTTTGGTGAAGAGATTCGAAGGTCGGTTCCACCAGAAGACG